TAGTAGGGCTAGACTTCGAGTTATTAGTAAAGCTAAAAAAGCTAGCGCCTAAGCTGCTCAATCAATCACGTGTTGCACTACAATATTTCAGTAATTTTTGATACGGTAGATGTTTGTAAAAAAGTGAGAGTAAAGATAGTTGTTCACTGGACCGAGTGAGTTCACTTGTTCCTGTCATTTGTGAATGTAACAGCCTTTCGAGCATCACCTGCGATGGTATCAACTTCCATCAGTACGGATTTGGCCTTAATTTACAGAAAAGTTGGATACTACCTGTGAAGGCCGAAAGCTCAGGTAGCTAACGGCCTAGTTAAATTAGTGTTACAGGTCTTTAGTCAACCGCATCTGCGCAGTAAAGATCTTACCTTAGCCGACTTTGACCCGCACCCAGCCGTTTTGCTCGGCTTTTTAGTTTACTAATATAGGTTACTTGTAAAGCCATCAGAAGTATGGCTATCTGATATCTAAGTTGGCAACAGGACACTTGCACTTCAACTCCAACACTTTGATGGGGGAAGAGTTGTCTTCATTTCATCTCTTCGTATTCGCGTGAGGTATGCTAGGGTACCTGGCGGCCGACAGTGTCGTGGTGTTGTGCATTTGTGATCTTAAATCTGACAATTATGATGCGCAAGCATGCTTTTCTTGATCCTTGTCTCGACGTGATAAAACCCTATCTTATTGGTCGTCAAAAAGTAATCCAATTTATGCTTTTGAAGCATCAGCCCTACTTGCATCTGTGCTTGCATAGGCGGATTCGGATAGTGCTTTATTCATTCAACTGAATACCCGCCACGAGCCTCTACTTGGTTTATTTTTGATCGGAATTTCTGCCAGCCCAACGGCCTCCTGTGAGCTTGCGACGCCAACTCAAAAGATTTTTAAAAGTAGATAATTCATTCAGAAAGTATGATACATTTCAATTCTTCATGGACACGCATCTTATTGGAAATGGGATAAACGAAGTTATGAATGGTGATGGGGAAAGATAGAATTTGAGTGGAAATCGAAAATAAGACAGTGCTATCTTGGCTGACTGAGGAAGGAGGAGGCGAAGGGGACATTCTCCGAATTCACAGGAAATCGGTGTGGTTAGCGGCTCAGAAGCAGACAACACACAGGGGAACAAAGAAGTAGCATGAGAGGCAGCGGGGAGGAAAGAAAGACTGAGGCTCATATTTGCACAAGCGAACAAAATTACAACACAGTTTGGCACTCGCCCACTGACACGTACACATCGCATCACGTAGGGGTTCAGACACTATGTACAAGTACGTTTGCGCCTTCTTTGAGGTGCGATGGAGCAGAGCGAACAAAAGTGGCGGTACACACAACAGGCACTATGTGGAATTCTGTATAAAAAAATCTGCACTCCGGATGATTTCGCTCTGGGAATTGCCTCGGGCGAGGAGGATCAAGGGAACGAGCACGTTGACCGACTCCGCTGTCGTAGTTATGAATTGGTGCTGGAATGAAACAGTAGAATGAAATTTGCAATTTCATGTTTTACAACGTGGGACTTTTTAGGCTCTGGCATTACGGTGTCAACCCGTTTGCGGTGTTTTAGTCATTCTGTAAGGGTATGATAAAGATACTTTCAGACTCAGAAATCTTACACCATCCTCAGGCGTGAGTCGGACGGTACAGATACAGACATACGGAGGATGAGGTAAGAGCACTTACGAACAAATACTTGCTTTGTTACATAAAGTAGAGAAAGTTGCAACTAGACCGAAAAAATCGGCCGATTATTTGATCCTCTATCCTCAGTGAGGTGCTTTTACAACAGCATCAAACAACAGATCAACTCCAAGGCAAATTATCTATCCTAACAATAACATCACTGAAACATGCCTTCAGGAGCCTTTCTGCAGTGCCGCGTTTTGAGACATCGACCTCTAGGCAGCAGTCCAAAAAGCCGACCAGGTCATCACTCAGTCGGTCTTTGCTCTTTATTTCCGGTTTGCCGTTAATTGCTATCAGGTAGAGCGCCTGAAAGGCAAAGTGTCCCTAAAAATAGTCCTGTTTACGTTGGAGCAAAAAGACAAACAATTCTTCTCAACTTTCTGATGCTTCTGATGGGGTGAGATGCGGACCTATTTTCTAGCATGCACTTGACTGCGCAAGATTTTATAGCCTTCTGCAATTTAGCCCAAGCGCTAGTGACATCTCGTGTAGTCACTCGTTCTTCTTAAACGCCTGCTTCCAGACAGGCGTCTTAGTAAGTCTTTGGGGATAACTTTGGAGTTGTAACTAGTGCTAGTGGTATGCAACACCATTCTAGAAGAATGGTACTATCGATTTCATTGGTTAAAGATCACATCATAACTTCATAGATGGGTAAAATCCGTTGACGCTAGTCGAATCGACAGAGGCTCGCAGTAGAATAATGGCCAGTAAGGAAACAAGACTACATTTGAAAACATTAAACGCGTTATTAACGGAACTATATGCAATGATTATTCAAGAATATTCAATTATGAATGTTGCAAGGGTCAGAGAAATGTTCATAATAACGCTTCTTCAAGAGTGGGATGGCTTTCAGCGTCTTCAGAGGCGACCCAGGTGTCGCTAACGGACTCATTTAATAGGGTATGTAAGCGCCGAGTGAGATGTGCGTGCATACCTTGAGGGGATTTTCACTGAGGTAGGGCGGTTCACCATCTAGCATCTCTAGGGTCATGATACCGAGGGACCAGATGTCGACTTTGGGACCGTACTGCTTGCGAACAACGACCTCAGGCGCCATCCAATAGGGTGTACCCACCATGGTCGATCGTTTAGCTTCGTCAGGACTGAGTTGAGCGCAGAATCCAAAGTCCGTCAGCTTCACTGAGCCGTCCAGACCCAGAAGAATGTTGTCCGACTTGATATCCCGGTGGATCACGTGATTTGAGTGCAGAAAGTTAAGCGCCTGTAGGGTCTACAATGTGGGGGCGGAAATGGTGCCATCACGCCCTGCGGTTTGGGTGATTAGCCAGCCCAATTTTTTCAGTGCTTACCTCCCGACAGACAGTGGCAATGTGCTTTTCTTCCATGCAGGCTGTTGTAACGATGTCAGTTAACGAACCTCCGTCAAGATACTCCATCACTACCCACAGCTCACTGCCAATCTAAGAAATAAAATAACGTTTGACACTATTAACACTTGAAAATAAGACAATGTTTTGAAGGGTTTGTGTTTACTAAACTAAAAGTTTTGAGAAACTTGAATACAACCTCACTGCTATCTAATAATGAGTAATTTATTTGCGAAATCTTACGGCTGAGATAAGAAGTGGAATTGAAAACCACAATTCTTGTTTATCGGACTACAAGTAAATCAGCAAACAATTTAAAACCCCTTGCCGTATTTTGGTTCTGTAAGGGCAGACGACATTTGAAGTAACACCATAAGTACATATTTTATCTACTGCTTTTAAAATTACAAAGTCACTAAGTTACTTAGAACCCAGTCGTTAAGCCTCTAAAAAAATCATACATGAGTTTACGGATATAAAAAAGGAAAAGAAAATTCTAATTTTGGCCTATTGTCAAGTTACTGACAACATGTAAGTGGGGTGCTAACAATTCTGGTGTACAAACCGCCTTTTCCAGCACCTTGTAATTAAATTCGCCGTCTAATAGTCGAATTTTTTAATATGCACGAAATTCTCTGGAAAGGTTAACTATTGCCGGGGATAATCACAGTATCCGAAGATTACTGGGCTTGCAGCTGACTGGGCACGGAAAGCATTGATGCCCCAATGCCAATTACCCTTGGGATAACATTTAACACACTCATCAGCTTAGTGAAATTGCAAAGTGATGAAAAAGGCCTACTAGAAAGCTGTCCAGGAAGTTCACAATGTTGGCGTTGCGATGGGCCCGCATCACCAGGATCTCGTTAAGAATAAGGTCTTTTTTAGGCTGTTGCCTAAGATTCATCTGCTTGATGGCGACTTTCTGTTTGGTGACAATGTCCTCACCAACGTAAACAACGCCTGACGCCCTAGAAGGAGAAATAGGTTTGCCTTTGTTTGGTTCAGGATTAATCGAAGTCAGTGTGGATATAATACCAACGCCCAGTATCCAAAGCAAGTGACCAGATCAAAGGAACAACCATTGTTGTCTATCGAATTGCATAAACATGGTAAAAGGGGACGCAAAAGGTGAAACTGTCGCCATAATAAGCGTCAAAGAAACTACACACCCATGACCGATCCTCTCTAGGGTGGCGTACTTCTCGCAAGGACGCCCATTGCTGACAATGGAGCTTAGTTTCTCGAGGATTTGCCTTTCCGTCAGCCGTAGACGAGAGCGTGTACGACATGTACCACCACCACCACCGCTTTGAGGTACAATGTTGGGTCGCGAAATCACCCTTTCGGTCGTCCGACCACGCTGCTGAGCTGTGAGGGCTCCGGAAGCGGTACCAGAGAGATCGGAAGGATGTTGGCGGTGAGTACGACTGGAGGAACGCGGCCTTTGTTGCTGTGGTACGGTCGGTGAGGAGTCCCCTTCACTTTCCACTTCAGCTTCGTTTTCTGTCTCCATCTAGCAGACGTAGACGTGACAACAACAGCAATATTAAGATAAAATATTTCAGTAAAAGCTGGGGAATTTCACCAAAATTTAATGATTTTGACTCAGTTCAGTATTAACAAATATAATAAAGCTTAGCAAACTGCAAGAACGTAATTTGATTCCTTCGTTCCTTTCTATTTTATAGCAAAAATTATACTTTCACATGATAAGGTTCACAGGAAAGAACTCAGAGCCATTTCCAAGTGAAATGAAGCTTGCATATCACTTTGCAGGTATGCAAATTTTATTGTCATTAAATCATGTTCGCAACCTGAGAGGGGTGAACCTACATGAGTCACGACAATCATAGCTGCGTCCTCGTCAGGTTGGTCTTCATCGATAGTCTCACCATCATCCTCCTCCGCCACGCCATTGACGATCTGTAACTTGACGAAGGCGCTAGAGCAGCTAGCGGAGGAAGAGAGCTCTTCTGCCACCGCCGCCTCCTCCGCCTCCATCTCCATCTCGCCCGCCTCCATGTCTGGCAAGACCTGCGAGTGACCTTCCTCTGTCGTCCGTAGGCTCTCATCATCCGTTGGTTCTAGATACAAAAGGAACCGTGTACACATGCACTGTACTTTTAACCCGTAAGACTTTTATGGTTGTTTGAATTTAGGATGATTTTAAGTAGTGAAACATTTCTATTGTCTGGCACTTCGTTGAGAAGAGTAGAATGAAAGTGCTGCCAATTCCTCGGAGGCTCCAGGAGGTCTTGGACTAGGTAGCAATTAGAAGGAAAGGGCCAACCAGTGTGAAGAGCTGAAATTATAGAGGCCTCTGTCAGGTCCTCTTGTCTACCTGTTTTGCGCCGCACACAGTAACAGACAAGCGACAAAAGACACAGTTTAATGAAACCAGGTGCAGTTAAAAAGGTCATTTAAGTTAAGCAGGTGCTATAAATGACAAACAATTTATCCTGCCTATAAACTCATATAAAAAGAGGCTCATTTATTCAGAAATATTCAAATAATCCAATAATTTGGGTTTTCATTATGGGCTTAGGCACGAAATCGTCATTTACTTTCAAACCAAAAATATTTCTATAACCTTCGAGCGTTTTAAAGGCACTCAAAATGATACCAAGGGAAAGTGATAGCAAAGAAAAAGTAAGGTTGTCGTCATACACCATCCTGGATAGCAAAACCATTTGTAGCCTTCGAATAAAACGCTTAAAGCACACCTTTTCACGTTTCGTTTCTAAATCGGAAACCACCACCTCTAATTTTGCATGCTTTAAAAGGCAAACTTGGAAGAAAAAGCCACGCATAAAGTACAAATGACAAGTTTTATGCGAATTGATTTGTGATGCACTACCCCAAAACTGCAGAGAGTTGAGCGCCCAGGAACGGGTTAATTAACCGGCCGATCTCAGCACCCGTGGTAAAACTGCGCTCGGTTGTGTTGGTGGCATGCAAATTAGGGTTTATCCCAGGTAGGAGAAATGCATGCTGTCCGGAACATTACGTTTGTACACTTGGGATTTAGTAAGATCCCGGAGTACTTCCAATACAAGAATGTAAGCGATGAACGGTTTCGGGTACAGATTTGATAACTTTTAACTATCTAGCTGTAAAGAAAAACAAAAACTTTAATGATCATAAGCTGAACAAGCTGCTGTTCTTTTGAAGCCGCAGACCCACTCAATTATTGCTGCAAAATTTGACAGCTACAGATCTCTGACCCCTAAATGATGGCCCCAATTTGCGAAAATAATTATCAGGTAAATAATACATTGCATATGGGTTTCAACTTTTACCTTATTCACAAAGGTGATACAATGCGTTTGGGTTAAAAAGGGAACGAGAGAGACTACAACCATATGAAGAACCATCGGAGTGTAAGAACTCAACTCTCCACAAATAATTTGGAACGCTGAAAACTAATTTAACCCTCCAATATGATGTTTAGAAAAGCGGATCATCGTAGTAAAGCAAATGGATGTAAATCGGTAAGAATATAAACAATTTTGGTAAAAAAACGTCACTAAATTTGTAAGTCGGTCGAACTTTGATCAGAGAATTGTACCTCGGAGTTAACAGACGAGGTAAATCACACAAGTTATACTCTTACTCCTCCCTTGAATGCAACTGTCAGGCTTGTCTATGCTGACTTGCTGAGGGGCTAGGCCCCAAAGCCTAGTTGAGCACAGCACAAACTTCTGTCGATCGCTGCCCAAGGTTGTGACGCTTAATGCAAAAACAGGCACCCTTTGCTAGCCTAGTCCAACGACAAATTCCGCAAACCTGGTAAGGATAAGGCTATTTTACAACTCCAATGGACCAGTAAGCAAATAAGCTTGCATTAGATGGAAATTTAAGGCTTAATATATGCATACAATTCATTAAAACACTTTTGACTGGTAAAGAACAGATTTTGTGACACCAAATGCACTGCATGTGAGATTAATTTGTATCGGGAACATGAATGATGCGCATTCTTTGGCTTTATTTCCAATAAGATTACTGCATCCGCGCAGTGAATTTATGATGCTGCAAAATGGGGCATTTTCGGTGTTTATCTTGCGGTCTACCGAAAAGTAATTTGGCTGCAAAGTTATTTTGCATCATCACGAGGGTGGCGTAAAAGTATGTCAAAGTTAAATGTTGAAAAATTCGAATAACTCATTGAGCTTAATGCCCCAGTTCCAAGTTCTTTCTCTTTAGAATTTAACATCTTTCCTTCGTCCTCTTGTTCATTCTATTAAAAAACAGTGAAAATCAAGTTGCCATCTACCTCGAAATCGGTGACCTGTAGTTTAGCCTCTTCAACAGCCTGTGTGGAATCACAAATAACAGTAACCTTATGTCTGTGTACCAACGGAGGATAACGTACTTCACTATAGCTTTATGGAAGATTAGCCGTGTGACGAGCCACGAAAAAGGGTTGTACAAATCCATGCGCAACAAGGCATGGTTGGACACGCGAATTTGCATTTAAAAATGCCACTTGTCTTGCGTAGCTGTAAACCGAAATTTGAGGTGTCTTGGGTAATTCCATGGGAACTTGTCCCTTTGTCAACGCCTATTTTTGCTACTGCAAGGTACTAAGGGGAATGCATTAAGTGAAATGAGGTTTTTCGATTAGCATATATTTATTTAGTCCAAGGTCTTAGCGAAAGTGCAGCTCCGAAGTTCAGGTTTCAATGCCGACTTTTTTCGACAAGAAATGTGACAAAGAAACTGAAAACATTTCAAAAAAGGGATCTAAGGTTGTTATACGATGATTTGATCTGGTGACGCGTGATTTAAGTGACCATCATTACAGATCAAGGCTTAACTGCATGAAAGGGCAGAAGCACATGGCAAGTGGAGCCAATGTTAGCTTGTGGGCGGACACTCTACGTTCCGAGCACAAAGCATGCTCGGACGCTAAGTCGCAGTCATACAGCACACAATGCATATGCCTTCTCGGGGAAGAAGTGCGTCAATGTTTTTTGCATACTGGTTTAAGGTGGACAGAAAATGATCCATCCCGACCATGTTGAAGGATGTTGCTGACAATCTGTAACTGCGTGATCGAGTACCATTACTTGGGAAAGATGTACTTTCACAGGTACAGTCAGTTATCTAAGGCGTGGGCTTTAAATAAAAGTCGTGGCAGGTTGGCTGTCTTTCACCGAAAACTAGCCTTACATTTTGACTATCTTTTAGACGATTTTTGATTAAAAAAGAGGCAAGTTTAAGGTAGGGCAAATTAGGAACCAGGTTATTAAAACCTTTTAATGATTCAGTAGAGATCACGGAAAAACTCAAAGTAATGGCGAACTGATGTGAATTTTAAAATCGCTTAAATGTGGCAATTAAATGAATTCCAGCAGAATATATCACATTAATCCACGCGGCAGTAAAAGCCAACTTGTGGTGAGACATTTTCCAACAAAAGCATTGGCTATGTAGGCTCGCTTTTCATAAAAAAATAGCACTAAAAATAACTAAAGGATAAGTTTGGTGTTTGGTAAATTTATTTTAATTGAATAACCATAACTGGAGTTTAAAATAGCAACAAACGGCTCAGAGGACTGAAAACTATAAAGAAAGGCAGATAATTATCTATATCTGCAATTTAAGATGCCAGTGCACTATTAAGCACAGAAACCTACCAGAATCCGCCAACGCAACATTCACCTTCTCGCCCGTGAAAGGATCCGTCAGCAGTCCTCCAAGTCCTGTGAAGGAGGCTGAGATACGTTTGCTGGTGCCATGAAGACCGGTTAGTATGGCAGGCACATTCTCGTAGGGTTGGATCTAATGGAACATTATCGATGAACACCAAAAAAAAAATTGAAGCGGATGTTATCCCGGAGGTTCATTTTTAACAGAGAATGCAGTAAAGCAAACTGCAAAAAATGTGTAAAAGCATGACAAAGCTTTGTTAATGTCTCAAATAGCGCAAATGGATTCGGTGAAGCGATTTAACTAATCCAGATCTTTCAAGCTGTGGCTTCTCAGTAGCAGCTAAAGGGCGATACCTCAAGTACATATAAACTGAACCCATTAAGCGGAATTGCAATGTAGGTGCATTAAAATGACTAGTGAAATTTTGTTAATAAGTTTACTTTCATTTATTCCAGTGCATTATACAAGAAGAGCTTAATGAAAGTTTAATGGGAACGATAACCTGGCAGTTAGCGTTTTACCTGTTTAAGAAAGCATAAGCGACAATTTTCGATTTTGAAAGGAACAGCTAAGTTGATGATTATTATTAATGCGTTAATGGGGAATCGCTTAAATCAAATAACTCCATAAAATCCCGTTTTCGGAGAACCCAAAATAGTATTCGCTACGACTTTACGCGTAGGTGGGAACACAAGTTATTCCTACTAATACCAAGCGAAGGAAGACTTTACCAAGTTAACAAATTTTGCACAAAATAAGTAAATGGTAATCGCAATTCTATGCAAAGAATGTATTATTTGAAGACAATGTTAACTGGACTGCCTAATGTGGTGAAAACTACTGCACTTTTGTTCTAAGAGTGTCGTAAAAGACCAAGCAATGGAGAGAGGAACGTCAGATTAGACAGAGCATATTCTGAGCAAGGTTTAAAGTCTCAACTGAGACACTTTATCCACCCTTAGCGAGATGGGAATGCGGCCAATCGGCATCGGTGCATTAAACGTGCATAGAAATTTAGGTGTACGAACTTCCGTCTTTGGCAATGGAAGTAGGAATGGGTGGTACCAGGGATGCCACGTTAGCGCTCACCAAATCAGAATCCAAATTTGGCCCTTTACAACCTGACCAACTTGGCGTGTGTGCGCGCCTGGCATAAAATGCAGGCACTGGATGTGACCGGGTTTTATGCAATGCGACTGTTTGCAAACGCAAATTCGACTTTGCAATTGGAAAGGCCGGCTTTAGCTTAATGTTTCTCGTCATGCTTTTGTTTTGTGTTTGGCCAGATAAAATTCCTGGAGCCAGTAATCGAAATGAAACATTATCCATGCATGGATTGAGTTTTGCATCATTCAGAGAAATGTCTCATTATTCACTTCTGACGTTGTTAGGGTATTTTTTCCTTCAAGTGATATTTTAGAAGGTCAAAAGTACCCAAAGTAACATCTACAGAGTTAGGGAAAAATAAAGTAGGGACCTAAGCGAGGTTACCTCGGATTTGTGTGCACTGGGACAGTGGCAACTCTGAGAGTCTTCTGTTTCGTCGTCCGCGTAGAGGGATATGTTTCGAAGGCCATCATCAATGATACTACCGGATGTGGTATATGAGTGCGTGGAAGCAGATTGCCGATGTTTGTTTCCCTGTAAAAGGGATAGTATAATAATAATACGATTGGCTTTCCCATGATTGCGGGATGAATTTGACGAGTGAATTCATGCAATTAGCTTGACGGGGCCCCATAATGTTATGCAACAGCAAGCGCAACGATGAAATTAAGAAGTCTGAGAGAGTGAATTCGAGTAGGTATGGAATAAGAAGTCTAGTTTATGCTTCATTAATCCAATTAGCATCAATGATAGCCCGTTAATAATCCTTACAAATCGGTTGGTTGAATAGTTAAGAGCCCAACACATGGAAGCTTCCAAGTTGAATGTCTGTGCCCCTAAGCCCTGCATGCATTTGTGGATCGCTATTACCAAGTAAACGAGTATTTCCAAGTGTCTTCAGAAGCAGTGTTGAGGATCTACCGGCTGGAAAAGGGTATCTGCTGAAGTTTTATAAACAATTTCGAGCTTTATTGTTGCTGATACATATGCAAGCACCGATTAGTTTTTTATAAGACAAATTTGCCAAAAGCAACTAAAATGAGTATGATACGGTTTAAAATCCAGTGGCAAAAGAAAAGTGAATCAGAGGGAGTGACTAACGTTATGTAGTCGCCGGTTAACTAGTAGGGAGACAATTTTAAACAGGGTGTGACCAAATGCTCAAGAGATTTGAAACTGCAACTCGCACCATTCTACGAGCAATGAGAAACAGTTTTGCATTTAGGGTAAATGCAAGCAAAGTTCCAAAATGCAAATCCAACAAGATTCAACGCGATTTGGACAGTGAAGAAGCAAATATATGTATGTGTGTATGTATGTATGCATAGTAATATTCCATAAGTTACGAATCTAGGTACAGAGAAAACAGAAACGAATGCTTTCCATTGAATTGGATAAACAAGCACATCAGATTTCACGAAGAATTCGTGAATCAACAATGCGGCAACTCGTAGTTCACAGATCACATTAGCTTTGCAAGGGCAAGCAAATTATTCAGAATCACCAATTCGCTACAGGAATTCAATTTAACTTGAAAATTTGCACAATGAGAGCGAGCTAAATCTCACCTCACAATGTGTGCGATCGTTTATGCCATAAAACATGTCGACGAGAGGTATCGGCCTCTCTCTCTCTCCGTATTTACAACAGCGCTTAGCTTCGATTGTTGTTTACAACGGCATAGTGGGCCTGACAAATATGCGCAAAAACTAGATCAACAGAGAGTCTATTTGATGAATCATTGTTTGAATTGGCTACGAGACCAAGAGGACAAACTCCTTCGTGATATCGATGAAAACAATCAGTAGAGAGCAGCGGAGGCCTTACAGCTAACTTACACACAGACAGGGTGCCCATAGAGCTTAACAAGTCACCCACTGACAGTTTATCCAGTACGTCACCCATGCCCCCGCACTAACTTTGATTTCAGAATATGAAGCCACAGGAGCGCCACATAACCGCACCAGGAACAACATTACTACAGAATCTGAGAGAACATTTCACAAATAACCTACTTCGGATAGCTACGGATTGGCTAAGTGTCGCCTGAGAGCACAAAAAGTGGCAACGTATCGGGGTTGGTCTAACCTCATCAGGAGAGGCGATCCCGTGGGAGGCTTGGTGCGGTGGGATTGGTGGAGGACTTCGATCAGAGGGATTTGATTGGTCAACTCCACAGTAAGGTCTGCCGTTGCAGCAGCCGTCAGGCTCACTGTTGCAGTAGCCTAAACACGCGTTGTCACAGCGCCCACAGCCGGCGGAGTGCCCTAGGGAATGTGACAAATCCCAAGTCATTAGAATGGCAGGAGGATGAGGCCGATGTATTCGATCAGCACAGGCGCCCAATTTCATTTATGAAAGTGTTGTCAAAGCAAAGAATGTGCAGCGCCCTAGAGGTCGTACGCTATTGTTCATTCGTGGTAAATTTACACACCAGAATGAATGAATTCACACAAAGGCTTGCAAATCCTCAAGGTGACTGAGTTGTAGGCAATCAATGTCAAACGGGATTGGCTTAGGCCTCTCCCAAACAAACTGAAGGTTGACAAGTTGCCACAGTTACTGTGTTGGGGACAAGTCAATATGTAAGATCATGGTTAACCGAGAAATGAATTGTGCAAGCATTCAACAACTGAAAAAAATGCATACAGAGGAACAACAAAGTACCAATGACCGAAATTCTTTACAACTTAAAGAAAATATTTTTATCAAAACAATGTTTTGACTGAGTAAGTAAAATTAATAAAACGACTGCCCCTATCCACGATAACAAAGCAGCAGGTACCACATTATACATGAAGTCCTGTCAACTGCAGCTTGCACCTCATGCTTACCCCAAACTCCTTTTTGGGTCATGAACTTTTGTTGGTTGGCATTTTGAGTAGCCGCGTCGTAGCACTGAAGGACCTCAATGACGAGCTCCGGATTTTGCTTGCGCTCTCGAGGGGAGATGTTGGAGTCCTGCAGCCATTGACGCCATGCCGGTGGCATGCCCTGGATACGAACATACGCAGAGGTCACCAACCAGATTGATATCAATGCATTTCCTTCCATCAAAAAAAAAAAACAATATTACAAGGTTAATGCATCATTTCCATCCAAAATCTATGGGACTCGTATTTCTGGTGGTGAAAGAGTAGAAATTTGGCGATAATATCACCTGCAACTGGATCTGAATGGATCATATAGAAACGCACGTCTCGGTCTAATAAAAAGCTTAATTTGAAATCAGGATCATAGCATTTCTTCTGGAGGCAACACATGTTAAGTTGGAAAACTCAAACGGAAGGGAGATGTCTACTTTGCACGGAGACAAGTACAACGGCGACCAAGTCATGTTGGATGATGGTCCACAGTTCAAGATGCCTTGACCTCAAAAATGCTGAGCACATTGACTCCTCATGCATGCTAAGGTGAGGTGAGAGTGACGTCACTGTCAACACCACACAATGCCACAACTTTAAAAGAATTCAGGTGATAGAGAAAATGACATGTATAACTAGAGGTGGAATCGGGAATTAAAGTGCCATCGTCGCGTTGATCAAGTAACAGCAAGGCGCACAATTCCCTAGCTCAATTTAACGTCCGAGAGTGACACGTGGCCATTGGCGCCGAGGTTGATGGAATGGTAACCGCGAAATTTCTCACCGAGACTGAGTCGTGAATAAGTAGAGGTCCTGCATCGCTAAACGGATTAAGTTGGTGATCATACGGACAATAAATTAACTGAAACTTACGGTTACAGCAGAGAAAAATATTTTTTCCGAACTGGCCTGAAATTGGCGCACAAAATGGAATTTTTTCTACAGTCTCACCATCTTGTGCCCAAGTAGTTGGGGCTAGTCTTGAGTAATAAATGTACGCAAAACTATCACATCAGCAGCGCTTTTACTTTGATACATACAAGCCAACAAGTCAGCAAAGGTATACCTATTCATTTGCTTCCAAAGGTAATGAAATCTTAAAGTCCTCGCTTCGCATAGCTTTTGCGATAACTCGATCATTTGTTCAACAATTCTTTTTCGTTTCGCGGCCACTTAAAGCTCCGCTTTTGTACTTCCGCTCTGCGGCATGGCCTGTGGGGCATACTAGTAGCACCCAGCACTTTGAACGTGGTCAGTACACTTTCTCTCTTGGTACTATGTCTTCCTACACGTCCTGGAAAGTCTAGGACGCAACAGTTATTCTACGCAATTACCAGGAAAGTTAAAATACCACCCATTCGCATCCACCATATGCATCGAAGAAATGAGAGGACCTTAGGAATCTTCTCTAATGACGTACAATCAGTAGTTATTCTCATCAAATAAACAAAAACATAATCACTACAACACAGTGTCAATCCGCATTCAACCGCCGAACTTGTGACGCAAAACACCGCGGTACATCCAAGAAACAGTTCCAATAACCCAATTTTTTACAGTTGAAACGTAATCTATTTAGTTTTGCTTCACCCATCGAGCGCTACATATTAGGTTTGAGGCCATTTTTAGCAAAAATTACCAAATTCTTCGCAAGGCTCCTTGACCCAAGGGAAGATGAAAAAATCATATATAACTTTCTTAGATAAGCGTATTGTATTCCGCTACGGTGGGAGGTTACATACACAATCAGGAGAAGCCCTTACGAGCTGTTAATGAGTTACACGAAAGAAATTCGTGATGTCATTATGGACTTAGCGATGTTATGCTAAGTATTTGTGACCCAAGACCTTTCAAATGTGAAATAAGTTTGCGTGGGGTTGAAGGCTGAGGCAAGAGCCTCAGTTTTCACATTGAAAAGCCTTAAATATTGGCAGAATTAAACATTGTTAAAAGTCCCTGGAAAACAAAGCCTGTAGAAACCAAACAAAACACATTAATGCGCGTAACGGCTGAGAATCCTTTTAGAGAGTTCATATTTTGGGGAAGTTTACCGAAACCTCTTTTATCAAAGCGGAGTGCTAGGCGTCAAACACGTCACGGTCTTTCGCCATGGTATATGCAACTTCACAGAATGAAATACGGTTTAACTTTCTTCTTGCACCACGAGCGAAGAAAAGGATTGGGAAGAGGAATACTACCACCTTGGAGAGCGCTTCTGTCACCTGTTGAGGCAGTTCGCACACAGGGGTTACAGCTGCCCACAATCATTAAACCATAAAGGGGGATGTGGGAAACCATAGTACATATTCAACCTGTGATATTTGGCAAGTGACTGTTGAACAAAAGAAAGACGATTTTTTATCGGTACAACTCCTGAGATTCGATTGATGAGGAGGTGTCTAACAACAATTGACACCAATCAGATTCGGTGGAGGTTTAAAAGGCAGAACTTAGACAATACGAAGTAGCTAGCTGGAGTCAAAACCCAGGACTGGTCATTGCGTAACTCCGTACTTTCGAAATGGCGAATTTGCCTATTTACACCGCGTCTGAATATGTATAATGCTGTAGGAAAAAAAACAAGTTTTTGTTAATAGTTGCATTTGTCTGAAAGAATGAATTATTCAAAGTGCGAAAAATAACAAGGGGACAGTTGACATAATCGAATTGGAAAAAAAAATAATGTCAACACTAATTGAACACTAACGCCTGGAAGAAATATGTTTTTTGACAATTTTTAATGCTTGTATTATATGAAATTGTGACTTGTGGAATCGACACGAGTGCTCAGAAATGTACTGCAGAGCATTTTTGAAACACAAAGTCGAAGTTATTAAGCCACGTTCCTGATTTACGATTGTCATTTGGCTATCGAAAAGGTAGCAATGAATTGGAAATCGGTTAGTAGAAAATCCAACTTCATAGTTGTCTCCTGAATGCAATCGGAAACCGGTTCCTTATGTAAACCAGAAATACTGTTTATCGACCCTTTAAAGTGCCCATAATGACCAACAGACACCCAGATAGGGCACGTAGAAATGATCCGCATACCCATTTACCCATTAGGTGACCTAATACCTTCAGTTACTGTTATACGGGAGCATTCGATATTAAAAGCATAGTGGAAAATAAATCATTCAACACTTGTAAGTATACTCTTTTTGTGTTAATGCCTTTCGAAATAACCTATCATGCCGCCAGAATGTGACCGGTTTCCACATTTGTTTCCCTTAAGGTAAGCGGAATTGCCAGAAGTACAAATGAATATCTACATTGACCAACCCTAAAACAAATAAACATGATTTAATTCATTTCTGAATGCACCAATAAACGTTCAGACGACACGATTACCTGGCTATCCTGTTTCAAACAGTTTAACTATTGTCTATTTATCCAACAGATGGACAGATTACTTAGGGAGGTCTGTACACGGTCAGCATCTCCCAATTTCGATTAGAAATTCCATGTAAAGGCTTCAGATTATACAATATACTTAAAGACACTCACTCTAATGGATGAAAAAATCCTTGTAAATAATATTTTTTGCCCCGGTCATGCAAATGCTAGGAAAATGCGAGCTGGGGAATTCTTAGCATCTTATGGCAAAAGCAAAACAAATTCACGCCGGAATTAGAACAAAAGAGCATCAGAACATTGGAAATGCGTACTTCACCTAGATTTTACTTAACAAGGAAATTCCTCCAGCCGTTACATTTTAGGTGCTCTTGGCTAAGGAAGTAAGAGGAAGGGGGTGACGGGTTCGCTAGGAGAGCGTTGCAGTTGGTAGTCGGAGGAGGCAAAGCGATTGCATGATACACTCTGGATTGCCCGCGAATGACGTCATTTGATGCGTACGCACGCGTGGTAGCGCGCGCGTGTGCGTAGGTGTGTGCGGGTGGGAGCGGACGGACGCCGCGGTGGTCGATAGACAGGCCTTTTGGCGAGCGCTACTCAGCGTCCGTAGATGCGTGCAAGACAGGAGCGAATTTTCCAAGGGTCACAAGTCATTTAGCTATTGCAGTATCCGCATGCTCGAGTTACTCAACGCAGCGGATAAGATTATCTTAGCAGGTGATACACAGAAACGGGTAATGATGGACAGTTAACAGTTCATGGAGCTGTTTGATCTAAGGGAAAGGATTCCGTTAAGGCGAAGGTAGTTTTGAGACTTTAAATAAGGCGGTTTTTTCAACTCTTGAATCAATGCCAGAATGCATGGAATATGGTTCAAAAACAAAGATGCTTAAAGCATAGGCGCCATAGTTCATTGTAAAAAAAGGGAATCATAGAAAGAAATTGGCTGGAATTTAATGATTAAAGGTGGATCCCAGGTACATCCTATGTCCAGTATTATTCCACAAAGAATTTCTTTTAACTCATTACACACCAAAATACACACACTTCATAAATTGTTCCACAGAATTTTCCATCTTCAATAATGGTAAAACTTACCTTGAACTCTCCTGTCTGGGCATCGAAAACGACATGAAGTTCATGACTGACATTGGTAGGAGAGGATATTTTGGGATCAATTGAGTTTCGCGAAAGACGGAAGAGTTTGACTAAATATAATGTGTAAACCAAGTGATAGCTGGATTCTATGCGTACATCTTAAGTTTTGCCTGCGTATTCACCTGCACGGGCATGATATAATTATCCATGTGTGTTGTGTAGATTTTCACCCATAAATTACTAAGACATTAAGGTTTAAATGTGTAATCGTTGAAAGCAGATGCAAGTGCTATTACCAGTGATGGAAGGTGTTTCATCTACTAAGACATCATAAATGATCACAGGAACTAATTTTTTGTAGATAAAACAAAGCTCATATAAGTTATATTCAAAAACAAACCCTAGGACACTCCAAACCATTAAATATAACTACTTGAAATCAATTTATAAGCACTATAACCACACCTTTCTTCGACGGTTTCCGAGGCGGCAAAGGGAGTGGTTTAAGTGGTGGACCGTCAGTAGTCATGCGCTTGCTAAAATAAAATTTTAAAAGGATAAGGCATGGACCTTCCGGCAAAACCTACTTATATCTCAATATCAATTAATACTGACATTGTACTAGATGATCTTAGAGGTGGTGCCGGTGGAAAAGCATTTGCCTGCGAATCCCATGTTTCTAAGCTACTACCTTGTCCATTCTTAAAATTTTTGCCTGAGAACATATTTACTGTAAGGCTATTAATCGCATTGCCGCACAACAAAACCAGCTGAAATGCAAAACAGCATAAGAAGAGCGACTCAAGATTACGTCAAGGTCAAGTGCGACTGTAAGTGATGCTATTAAATATTTTAAATGAAAAGATTGCACTTTTCCGGTGCAATTGGTTAAAATATGTTTTGAAAAATTTCGTCTATAAAACAAAACATTATATTCCAGGATCTTAAACAAATCAGAAGAACTTGGAGAATGTTCTTTTTTATTTGAACCATCGGGCAATCACTACCACTGTTGCTATGTGGAGCGTGGCTCCTCGGTCCCCGCTCCCCAATTCCTAGCGTTCCTAGACAAGCCTGGTTGATTTGGTTGGACATCTTTATTAAAGGTGAAAAGATGGATGTGGAAAATACAATATTCAAGAAGGAGGGGAGCCGGAGTCACAGGGTAAGGGAGAGGACAATCCGGTTACAAGGTTCGAATTTCCTGATTGCCTCCCCTCTGAAAGGCACATTAAAACAACATAAGTATTACAGCTACTTTTAATCAAAACAGAAAGATTGCGCTTTAGGCCACTGAATTTTAAGGGAAATTGAATAAGGCTTTGAGGAACAACTATGCGCAAAAGTGTAAAACTAATCTTTTACAGAGAGATTTGTCATTACAGATAAAACAGTTAGAAACGGCTAATAGGCATTTTTTTTCTGCATAGATATAGGCCTCTGAGCATTTTTTATATAGGACTTCGCCCAAGAATGCAAGATGCATGTTTCGGCCCCAATCAAAATCCAAAAAATGTAATGAATGCACATTTTTTGTGTAACTAATTGACTGTTATCTGCTCTTTGCGCTGATACTGGATGATTAATAGACTATTTTGGACCTACTTGTTCATAATTTTCAAAGAATAGTGTTCACAGTGGGGCATATATTTTCTTTATTATCTCACTGCACTTATCATAAAATACCTCTAAAAAGTTGGATTTGTAAATTTCTCTGATTTAATAGGTCATCTGGCGCTTTAAGACCTCATTGGTTTTATCTTCCAACCTTAGTTCTCAATATCTACTTCCTCGATAAGTTGTTATAAACACTCCAGGCGTTTATAATGGCTCTCTTTGAGACCACCATCATCGATCAAGGCACAAAACCTGAAACACAATTTTCGGATTATCTGTTAAAGGACAAATTTTTCCTAACAGCTTTAGAATTCCACTATGAACTTCTCGAACGTGGGATTTCATGTGATACATTGGAAGAGTTCTTTTCGAATCCTGAAAATTTTTATCGGTTTGACTCGAATCGATCCGAAGTCATATCAACAAGTACTTTTTTAGTTAGTCTTATTTTTTAGACTCCCATGTGAGTCTGTCTACTTCAGACTCAGTTGACCTTCGTACTGGCAGTGAAGACCAAAATTCTTTTGAAGAACAACTCAAAGGTAACGTAGACCCCACTAATTACTTTAAAGTGTTTGAATTTGAACTTAGGAAAAGGAATGAAGAGATCAAAAGCTTACGAAGGCGCCTTACAACTGCAACTGTAGGTGGTAAGTTTTGTATCCGCAGAAATCTTCATATTTTATTTCAACGGCTAGTTGCTTAGTTGTTGCGTTCTTTATTGCATTCTTACAGTTTTTTAAATCTTTAATAGGCAAAGCCACGGAACCTTTGAACTCGTCCACGCCGTCAAATGGTGAATGCTATGATTCCAAGGATTCCGGGCCGGCTTCCAACACGGAAATCCGTGCCCTTCGTTTTCTGATTAACGAACATCTGCTGAACAATGGATATAAGTTGAGCGCTGTTCAATTCGCTGAAGAATGCGAAGTTGAAGATCAACAGGATTTAGACGACTGGGATGATGTAAGAAAATTAAATTGTTAAGCTTTTTAAGTCTTATTTGGTTCTTATATCTTCATTCGAACCTATAACTTGCATACTTAAGAAATTATCAACGGTGTTTCTAATCATGTGCGCCAATCATTTGAGACTTATTTCACTATTGGGCAATGTCTAATTTTACAATCAACGCACAATGTTGGTTCTGGTGTGCTTCGAATGCCAATAACGCCTTATGCAAACTCGATTTGGCAATATTTTTGTGTTGAAGTTGAGTCACTTATATTTATTCAGTCTGTTAACAAATAAAACTTATGGAAACAATTCATTGTTGACGTTCATTTGTGCACATCATATTGTACTATGGACATCGACGAGACTTTCGGTGTTGTTAAGCGACAAAGTGCATAAAATGGTATGGGCTTCTATTTCAAAACATAATTTTTTAAGATTTTACCCAGTTGTAGAATTGAGATGCAGCGCCATGGTGCAATTTTGCTCGTAATGTAGGCATATTGCTGTCGATGACTCGCATGAATCTTTTGGTAGAACACCAATTTTCGGGTTATTTGTCAGTATTTCTTAAACCCTCCATTGATCTATCCTCTCATCGCTATACATCCTCTGAGCACATTTCAAACTGCATTTCGCAAGTTTTTTGAGCTGATAGGGAATAGCTAACTTAAGTGGCCTTTTCGTAATGTTATACATACCGTCACTGAAAATGGGTTAAATATTCAATCTCCCTAGAATTTTGTGGGTGTATGATGAAGTTAGTGGGACATCCGCAAGTTATGCCTCTATTTAGCATGTTATCATGCGAGTAACTTTTTTGTCGACATATCCCACTTTTTCACCACTTATAGATTAACTAAGAATGAACTCTGAGCGGTTCGTAGGATATTTTTTATAACATTTTAAGTATTTGGTAAACTTGAGGGGATATATATTACAGGGGAAAGAGGAGATATGAAATACTTTAAAGTTTTTGCTTTCTAATAGGAATTCTTACTACATTTTTTATATTAAATTTTATTGCTGTAGTCGTTCAAAAACTCGACCTAATAAACACTTCCTTTATTACAAATACATCAAGAAAAGAGATTAAAAAGTAAATAGTTTTGATTCTAACCTTCTCGGAATGCAGGTAGGCCTCACCTGTAATCGTCCCCCGAATCTTCTCATGCTTCTGCGCTCTTCCTGGATGCTTCCGTGCCACAAACCGTTACGTAGTGGGAGCTCCACTCCACATTCTGCAAGGCCCCAGGCCACTGTTGTTAACGCCACTGCTGAATTTACGGACGAGGCCGTCCAAACGGAACTCTCTGCTGGAATCCTCGACGAAGAACTAGAAACCAACAAGACTGCGCTCAGTGCGCTGCGGTGTAACTTTGAGGCTACCAAAGCGGAGCTAGAAGTCTCGGTAACAGTAATCATCTTTATTCATTCCGTTAGTCTTTGATGGAATGTGCGACTCCCTGTACTTTTCAGGTTGTGATGCAACTCCGTTCCCATTATTTTGTTTTTATTTCTTCTTTTGCAATATTTTTTCACATTTGAACTCTCAAGAATGAAGTTGGAAACCTGGGAAATTAAACGGGTTTTTCAACTTATTTGCAATCTTATTTTGATAAATTATAAACCTAGACGGTTTTAAAGCTCTGTTTTTTCACTTAGAGGAAGTAAGAACTAGGGCTATCTGTTGTACAATCTCTGCTACTATCTACTGCTTATAAGCTCAAATAACATTTTATTCTCATTAGCAAAATGCAATCGACATTAATGCGCGTGAAAATGAACCTTGACATAACTTGTAGCTGGAAATATTCTTAGCATTTGCATTCTTAGCATTCACCTGTTCGACCTATTTTGATATAAGATTAACGGAAAATGAGTTTTTCCCTTCAAATCTAATATTTATTTCCTATTAGATTACTTTTTATCCTATTGTTGATTAGGCACTATGAGCAGTGATTATACAAGCACTTGAGTTCATCTACCTGCTTTTATGTAGGTAGTGAAGGGTAGCATTTGACGTCACTGACCCCATCAACTTGAAAAGCCCCTAGTTTATTGCATGTTTTATCCCCACTCGACTTTTTTGCCCTCATTTCTCTCACCATTTGCCTTGATATTTCATTGTTTTTTGTTATGGAACCTTGAAATATGGACATTATGGAAACCTCTGGATGATTGCTGAACTCACTAACAACATCGCATACGCATATTTGCCAGGCTCGTTAAGAGTACTTTGATAAATGAAGTGAACTCTGGAGAAATCAAATGCTGCATTTGTTTTCCTCAGCGGCAACAAATTGGCGATTTGCGTGGAAAAGTGATGCGTATAGAGGCGGAAAACGTCAGTCTTGCGCAGGAATCCACCTACTGGAGAAACCAACTTCTTTGCCTTAAACGGTAACTCTTCTTTTTATTACCTGTCCTCTTTTGTGCCTGTGAATACGTCTTGTTCACTCATAGTAGTTGTTCGTAAGTGTCATCTGCTCAGGTGTACTCCACTCGCTGCTCCGAAATCGGCCCAAATAAGTATTGCTATCGTAGCAACCAGAAAATTAATTTTTTTTCACCAGCATCACATATGTATCATAATTAGCGGTGTTCAAACTTGAAAAAATTACAATGATCCATTTTGAAGATCATTTGTGCCCAAAGATATCATAATGCGAGACATTAAGTATACCTTAAACACGCGTTCTTATAAGATCGTCTTTACAGGATGTGTAACGGGAACCTACTCTTTACTACACAGTATGATCATGACGTTGTGTCTGTCGAATCCACATTTTATGGGGGGCTATGCGTTTAACTCTTTTTTGCGAAACGAAAAGGAGGTTATTTTTTACTGGATGCACGAATCTACTTTAGGTATATTGCGGTAATTGATAATGGCAATCAGTCGCTCTTTATCTAACAAAATGTACCTCTTTTATTTTTGTCTGCATGACAACCAAAACGCAGAGCAAACACGCTCTGTAATTTGTAAATGAATGCAATGTCTGATATTAAAATACCAGTAGAAAATAGTCTTGTGCGGCCATCAACCTCCTCTGTACTCATCTTTCACTTACATTTACTTGGTAGAGATTATCCCGATTTGGTGGGGACAACGGTGGTGAAGGCAAGCAAAAACGCCGCCCCTGCCCAATCTCTTTCTAATGGGTATGTTGAATTGGGGACCGAGGATGCCGATTCAGCGGAAAAATCGAGTGAGAATGGTCATATAAAGACCTCTTCACCGGTACCATCCCCACCGTGTGCGGATCCACTAGCCTCGAAGGTGACGGCACCACTTCCCAAGTTGGTCATCAATAATCCGCAGTTCATCAGGTCGGCCCAAACCTCAAAATCCACCCACTTATACACCAAGACAGTATTTTGTATTACCTTTAGCACTTTCTAGGTAGCGCACGCCATGTCCTTTGAGTTTTGGGTATAGTAACGTTGATAAATGCCCTGTTTCATCGTTTTCTTATATTTTAAATGGTGACATTTTGCTTGTAAAGTCATGCTCTTCTGTGATCGGAGATTACTTTAAAGTCTTTCATCAAGTGCTAGTCATCATTTACTTCCTCATTTTCTTTTTGAAATGACCTTCTGCCATTGCAATTTGAAACTTCAAACATTTGTTTTCTGGTTCAGAGGCATGAGTGAAAGCCAATTTTCTTAGCATCCGCAATGATTTTGCTATGTTAAGTGGTTTTAGAATCCGTTGAATTAAGTTTAATTCTCCATTTGCATTTGCACACACCTAACCTTGGCATCACGAAATGTCTAACTTTTCAAGGATTGTAGTGTTCGTTCCAAATACTGATGGGAAAGACTAGAATTGATACTCTTTCCAGGAGTTTAGAATATCTAGGAAAAATTGGAACCTTCAGGAGGGAGAACTGCCATGAAACAACCTTAGCCCTCATAATTTTGAGTCAGTGAAGCATTTTTCTTCCGATTTAGACGCAAGTATTCTTTAGCGTCTTTTTGAAACGTTTCTTAGAGTTTTGAGCACCCCTATTGCTCTAAATGATGGTCGTGGTCTTTCGTAGTACTGACTTGCTGATTAGTCAAAAGCTGCCAATGCTCAATTATTTAGCACTGCTCCCTTTTGTATAACACTGGTAAGAAATGGACGATAATTTTCAAATAACTTTTCCTCGTTTACCATTCTTTGTGGTGATCGCACAGTCGCACCACAAGTTTTTACTTTTGATCAAATTCGATCAAAGCTATTTTTTGAGTAAAAAGGCGCAAATATTCAACCTGAGGTCATTTTTTTTCATTTTACATCTCCAGACGATGCGCTCCCGAGTTTGTTTGTTGCGCCTCAGAACTCTTGCCGCCGGTGGAGACTGAGGAAGTTCCTCTGGAGGTCTCTCGACTAGCTGACACCTTGGATGAAATAATAGTCGCCATTGGCTCTCAAATTCAGAGCATTCTCAAACACCTCCCGGATGATAGGAAGACTGTAAGCTGATTTAACATCTCTTTTTACCGCTTTTAACTTTCTCCGGTGTGCTGCTTATTTGTCTCGCATTGAACACCCTTGTACGGTAATTAAGTTGTCAAAACGGTGCTATACTTGGTTGATATCATCCATAAACTAGTTTCCTTATTACTTGTGAAAATTTGCTCGTACTATTTCACGTTGTCTTTATTTTCATTTAAGTCAAATTTTTAACGGATGTTTCGCTTTGAAATAAGCAAACTAGTCAAAATACTATGTGAATGTGTGCATGTAAATTTTCAGCATTTCTGTTTTACACTTGCTTTAATTCAAATTCTTCCATTTAACGTCAGAATCGCCACATTTCCTCAGTATTTTCATGCGGCTGAGTTCGTACTTCGTTTGCTTAAGACGTTTTAGTGAAAATGGCTTTGTTTTATGCATTTGGAGCCAGAAATCATAAATGCAATGAAAGCGTTAAATCGCTATTGGGCTTGATAGACCACATGGAAGTCGTGAACATCAGCAAAATACAATGTCATCGGAATGATCGTGCAACTTGCATGTCACACATCATTAGCCTCATAAGTGAAATACTTTTTGAACCCTGAACTAGCTGACATATGTGAACTGATCGTGCTGGTGATTTTAGGGAATCTACCACTAAAAGCTTTATTGGGAGTTGCATACACGCAATACCTCTTTCGTGTAAATCTAATCGACTGAATTTGACTATTTCACAATTTGATTGAACCAAAATTGCGTTTTCGTAACTTCTACAATCTTTATGAACCCACGACTACCCCTTGATTTGGTGTTTTTAATGTCTTATGCGCGTTTAGCTCGGGAATTGCATGACCAACTTTTCTTATTTTGCATTGAGTTGGCTCTGCCACTGCTGATCCAGGCCATTTGCCTGCACCCAGATGCCGAAGTTCGCGACCAGCTTTTGCGAACCCTCTTTAACCTTTTTACCGATTCGCCTGAGGCTGACACCAAGGAGGTGGAAATAAAACGGGCTGGCACCATTCTTCATCAGTGCCGTGATTTGGCCACATGCTTGGGTATGCTTCCTCTTCTACTATCTGCAAGAATAGTCTCTCTAGTGTCCGGATAGCCATCTCACAGCCCTTCTGACATTAATCCTATTGAAATTTTGATGGGTTTCCTTCAAAGAAACCAACTATCTTAAGACCTGCCTTTTGTAGTTTTGATGTTTCAAATTGGCTAAATTCAAAGCAGTGGTGAGGTTTTCTTACTATGCTTTTGAGAAAACTCCCATGTACATATTAGTTCTATTAATTCCCTTTAGGTAGAGTAGTTGATACATTAAAATGTGCTGATACGCACTGGGTAACAAATTTTTACGCGGGTAGACGGTGGTACCAGCTTATGACGCAGCCGTGACCAAACGTGTATTTGTAGTCGAGGTTGACTGAATTAGCTTCAACTCTACTCCGGCTGTTCCCACAATCTTTTCATGGCTAACATATAACTGTTTTTTTGCCTTGCTTTACCCTAACGTAATGATAAGATGGTAGACTATTCGGGATCCTTGCAAATTTGGTTCCTGTTAAGATTAAAATAAGCTCCCAAAGTAGCGCAATTAAGCATATCTTGTTGTTTGCTGACTTCGGAAGTATACATTTTCTCTTACAGTTGCATACTGACTGATTTTGTGTCTACAAATCGTGATATAGTCGTTGCTAAGCCCGCTGTTGTATCAATATCCTTTGTTTTGCTTGTTTGTACTTGTACTCAGTAGTTTATTATTTTATTGAGATCTTATGTACATCTGCGTTTTTCTTTTAATAAACCTTATTACACTGAGGCTGTATAACTGGCCATCATCGTTTTCACGAAGTTATAACCTATTCATAGGAAGGGTACACTTGTGAGACTTTTATTTCCTAGTAAGGTGCCGTGTAGATCTGTTGGTTAATAGCTATCTTGGAATTAACATGCTGTTATATTCCACGTATCACTTACCTTGTCCGTGAGAATGTATAATAGCTGTTTAGCTTAATTACTGCTCTCACGTTTCTTTTACTTGGAGGAAAATGTGGGTCCAAGTTTTGGTTTTTCCTGTATTCAGGTCCTCAGCGGATAGAGAGTGAACTGTTGCCCCAAATCTGGTCCCAGTTAAACGAGCGACCCTCAAATAGCCTTCGAAAACTCCTCATCTCCGCTTGTGGTGTCATAGCGCCCGCCACTCCCGTAGGTGCAGCTCAAAACTGTTTACTTTTACAAAATTTGGTGTTTTGTTAGCTTATTATTTACAGGCACATATTGTTGAGCTCGCCATAAGCAGAGCTTCCTGCCCCCCGAATTTGAATGCTTGCTATCGACGTGTAACTTTGTTCATCGTATTGTTCCGTACTCTCAACGCACACATGGATTTGGTAAATATATAGGGATGAGTTTCCACATTTGCCGGTAGGAGTTGGGGCTTTTTAGAAAATATTACGAAATATTGACATTATGCGAGTTTATTTAGCGGAAACATTGTCTAGTTTGCACGGCAGTAATTCGTGAACAGTGAAAAATAAGCACAGGTTGGGTTGCATGAGCTCCATCAATCGGTATCACATTTTCTGTGTCCTCACGGCAATCGGTAGGTGCCGACCAAAGTTCACTGTTGTGATGGTGAGCTCACATTAAGATGTTAGACTTACTTCAAATACTCTTGTATGGATGTTTAGTCAGCTACTCACCCAAAAGCTAGCTTAGATTCTCATTATTTTAATACTTTGGATAGGCTAGTAGACATCCAATCCATAGCCTGTTACGCTCTTCTTTGGTCCCATAAGGTTCCAGAAATGCGTGATTAGACTCACATTGTGCCCGTCCTACTTCTTCATTAAGTAATCCTTAGCACGCTCTCACTATTAGTCTTCCTTTTAATAATAATATCATCTTAAAAAAATGAAATTTCGTTTCAGCTACACAGGCAACTCCTTGCATTTTTTGAGGCTCAACAGATTCGTTTACCCCTTTAACGTAAGATCGGACTCGAGTTTTAGATCCAAAGTGGTTACTCTCTTTCCGTCATCCTCTGCCACCCTAGGAACGGAATGGACATTTGTTCGAGATGGATTCGAAAAGTGCCTTAGTTTCGACCATGCATTAGCTATCTTTTGATAATATTCTGGCTCATCAGTGATTTTGGCTGAGTTCCCATCTCTCGACCACGTCAGAAGGCGCAGCCTCATTCGAATCTTTTTACAAACATAATATATATGCGAAGCAAAAAATAGTTCCAGACTCAGCTACTTTTATTTTTTAATAAACAAACCAGCTTTGTGTTCATTGATTTGGGACCTAAAACCAGACTTTCTATACCTTAAATACCATGGTTTAAAAAAAGGAGTTCTGCCTCACTTATACTAAATCTCTAAATTCGTAAGCCAGAAACCTGCTTAGTCAGTAAGACAAGAGTGAGCCACTTGTTTTGAAGACGTGTATATTTATCCTAAGCCCAACTTAACTTCTCGCCATTGTGTTAACAGGGTAGAAGTTGCGTTGTGTTTTATTCTCACCTGCGTAAACAAAAAGTGTTGCCGATTCTGTAGTTGATTTTTACCAACTTTGTGAAATTGCTAGAGGCCACCTGTCTTTCCACGCAAAAAAAGCGGTCCGTGAACAAGGGTCCATTTCAGTTGTGCCAAATAGTTATGAGGCATGGAAATTTACTCAGTTCCCTATCAAATTGCTTTTCCTTTCATTCTGAAGCAAGACGTTATCCTTTGCGCTCCAATTCTGCGCCTCTTCATCCTCAAAGAAAGAAGAAATGGTAGACTTACCCAATATCCGGTCTTTAATAATCTTTTATCACCGTGTATCTTTACATGTCTCAGTCGCGATTGCGCTCCTCACTACTCCTCTCGATCCTCCTCCAATCCATTGAGGAAGAAAAGGCGGAGGAGGTGCGCGCAGTTGCGCTGCGCTCATTGGCGGCAGTGGTGGCGCTGATGGAGGACCGAGATAAGGTGCCCCAGCTAGTGACCACCTTTGACACGGTCTTTCGAGCCGATTGGACCCATTCACCTCCAGCCACCACCGCTCTGCCCTGCCCCCATGTCGTCACATACGGGTGCTTACCCTGTTTAGTGAGCAGGTGTAGCATGGGTACCTGTCCCAGCGTTATTACCGCTTCCTGCAACTGGCTTCTACCCACTGTCGCTCAGTGGTGTCTGGAAGTGGGTTCCTTCAACGATCTCCTCCTCAAGCCATGGCTTCAGCGACTCATGAATCTATGCTTCGTGAGTTTTTCCTTTGCCGAATGTGCACATTCATAAATCAGATATCGTATATTTTGTCCATAATCATTAATTTCTTTTTGTTCTACCGTGGTATAAAGAATCTGAGCTTCGTTGATCCTAAATTCAGTACCCAATCTCTCATTATTAGTCAAGAATCTTGAATATCAGTTTCTACATTCATGCTCATTCAATGCTATCCAATCTCCACGCATTTGATGTAATCTAGGCATTACTAAAAGGCGTCGGTAAGCTCACTTTGCCCTTAGAATTGGAGCATGCTGTTTTTTCAGTCATATTACTTTCCAATCATCCACGAGTAAATCGTTTCTTTGCTTTTGGGTTTTCTTCAGGTATCCTCTGTTTTGTTTGGTTTAGTACTTCTTGTTTTGATGCATATAACCATTTGTAGCAGCCCATGAACTTCCATTAGTCCATTAAAGTTTAATGTGAACTTCTCACTTTTATCCTTACATAGCAGTTAAAACGCTCTCACCTTGTACGCATATTGCTATTTTTAATGATAAACTATTATTACTCGTATTTCTCTAGATTAAAAACGAATGAAATGGTCTTACTTTGACGCCTTTGTTTCTTTTGGTTTGTTTACTAATTCTCATATGGGATTAGCGCCGCAACACCTAAGTGTTCTGGCGGATTGCATAATTGCTAAGGCATGGGACAAGTGTCTTAAAATTGTGGTATGTTGCTCAACCTTGGGAGCTTGAAGTGTGAGGTTTCTGATGGATCAACTGTTTACATTCTTGCAAATGTTAGATGAGTAGTTAAGGGAGGGAGTGAAAACAACTCTATAATCAAGCTGATAGAGTAGTGAAACGTCGGGATGCATCCATTGGAGACACTTTGTTAACGAGTGAGTGGTCTATCACTCGTTATTTTTGTGTAGCCCACCAACCGGTAACCACACAATAATAAAAGAAACAAATCCTCAAAATAAGTTAGTCTTCATTATTATGCGGATAGAACCCACTTTGTTGATACACGATCCACTGCAAATTCATTATTCAAAACTGATTTTCAAGTTGTTTTACTTTGTGTTAAGAGCATGCTTATTTTCTTCATGTCCTGCCTTAGACCCTAGATGTATCGAAGTCAAGGCCGAAGAGTGGCAGCGTCTTGGCGGCTCCGAGGCGACTAAAGGCAGCCTTTTCAACAGACGAGCTCTTCTGCATCATGACAGTTCTCAATCGCCTGGTCCCCTTCGTGTTCGTCTCCGTCCTCGAGAGCTTGACATTACTTCGACCCGATACCGAAGACTGTGATGACCTGGTCCTGGATGATGTCGTCGAAGACGTCAAAAAGGCAGAGGGGGAAGATTTGGAGGAGAATGGAAGTACAGGGATAGCTAACAGTAACACTGTCGACGAGAGACGATCTTCTGTCGGTGAGATTGCATTTTTATTTTGCGCCACTTATAAAAAAATATTATCGCTTTAGTCATTTCCAACTTTGGGACTTAAAAAATCTTTGAAATTGCATAAATTAGTAATGAATGGTAAGCAGTCCTTGAATGTTTTCTATGTGTAATTACATGGGTACACATTTTTTCCTAGATTTGGATCAATGTGTGTACCTCTTCGTACCTCAGTACATTTTGGGCAAGAGGCGCTACGAGCAGCTGCTGGAGTGTTTCAACCACATTTTGAGTGGCTCGAAGATAATATGTGGGGAAGCGGAACAGCAGAAGCAGTCGGCTTCAGAAGACGCTGAGAATGAGACATCGGCAACAACAATGGACATAGTTTCGATGTCCACAGGTAGGGAGGGTGACGAGTGGCCAGCGATGGACGCAGTTCGGCAACATCTCTTTTGCGTCGCCCAGATGCTGCGAACTATCACACCTTGTCCCAATACCTCTTCTACAACTGCTGTGACGAAGGCTGTGGAAACCACGGAGGGGCATGAATACCTTGAACAGGATCCCATCTCACCACAGGAATTCCTTGCCTTGATGCAGGTACGCACTGTGATCCTCATTTTACTAGTTTCTATATCAGAGGACTGTCAAGTGGACCACCCTTTGGCATCTGGTTTAGTTTTTCTTAAAAGTTTGGCAAGAAAGTTTTTGATGGGTATAGAAAACCTGCATTTACCCCTCAATAGCTCGTTGATAGACTTACTGTTGCATATTTACTAACTAAAACATGCAACAGCCTTGTATTATAGTTTGATCAGTTCCTGCAACCTACTTATTTGGCTTCAACAGAATCCGGATTTTTAAAATTCTTATAAGACGAATTTACGAACAGCATGAAATAATTGTGCGGTGTAGATCTTTGAGTGATAACTCGCGGCTACAGTATCAATTTGTAGGGGGCAGAATAATCCACGCCTGCACAATGCCCACGTTTTTAGATGCAATTTGAAGACACCTACTGGACTCCATGGCACTTGCAACCTACTTCAAGTATTCTCACACTATGCAAGGAGCTTTGTTTATATGTCTCCCTTTTTGGCAAAGCATTTGGAGCAGCTGCGGTGCAAAGCCACCTCGGAGAACCTTTCCACACGCTCCTCATGGAACGCAGTGTACAGGGATGTAAGTCCGATGAAGCCACAGTTTCCACTTTTTTGGTACTAGTAGTATACCTCTCCATACTTTGGGTTCACTTTTTATCAGATTTTGAGTTCGATCTGAAGGCTCTTCCGTCGGGAGCTTTCGCTGGTTATTGCTGCTTGCTAGCGTCGACCAAGTTTGTAAGTTATTTTGTTTTAGGCATTAATCATATCAGCTTGTGCCTTTTGCCTATTTGTTCTTCTGATCATTTAGAAGTCAGAACTTAATAAGGTGAAAATGCTAATAGCAAATGCAATATTCCTCCACTCCCGTGATTCCTGCTCCCTCCACGGTGTACGTGCTGGAATAATGACTCTCTGGTACGTCTACCTTTTAGAAAGGCTACTCTACCATTTGAGTTTGGCTCCGATATTGTGATGCGTGCTGATGGTGTGGTTTTGGCATGGAAAATTAACGTGCCAGACTCGCTAGGTGTGCACACATCACGTACTAATCATTCCTACTGAACCGCTATAAGTAACCGATGGTTAAAAATGTTATTTCTGGTAAAAGGTTGCTCACCAGCGTCAAATTGAGCTCTCAAAGACTTAAGGGCTTTACGACAAATTAATGTTTTATTGAATCACAGAACCAGTCTTGAATATGTAGTATTCCAGGTTTTTTTGTTTAAATCTTTCTTCCAAGACGTGCCTGCGATCAGTGTTTGAAGCTTGAACAAAGGCACCCATTTCCATCAAAATTTACTATTCACGATAATGTAAATTTCAGTTTTTTATTTTGTATGACTTCGGAATGTATTATCTGCACAAAAACAGTCTAATTTTTTTACTAGAATGAAATCAATTTATACCTTTTATCCATTTTTTTAATTTTAAAACTTGTGGATTTAAAATGGATCGTGATGAGACAAATCAGTAATGGTTCGTCATCAAGAAACGATTTTGTTGGAGGGTCCTGAAGCTTGTCCTAAATTTACTATATGAGGCGATAAAGTTACTCTTGGCTATGCCATCTCTCATTTGCATGGGCGAAATGAGTTAGTTTAGTAAACGTTTTACGGTAATTCCCCTTACCATTTACTGCTTTACCATGTTAAACGACGTTTTATTATATTAGAAGGGAATTGAAGTCACTGTTCAAGAATGCGTTTTAATTAAACTGCCATTTTAATCTATTTATGTTGCATATGATCGAGAGGACAAGCAGCTACATAAGGCGTAATGCTGATTTACTTATTAGAATAGATAAAAGTATGTAGATAGAGCAAGCGAATGACCCCATTAGTAGATTTTAATGTCGTTTCCAACTTCTGCCCCTTCAGTCACAGCGAGGATGCCATGATGATCGCAGATGCGGTCCTGCTTCCCGCACTACGCTCCTGTGCTTCCTGCGCGGATCCGGCGGTGCGTCGAACCGCCAGTAACATCTTCTACACCCTCATTGCCTACCTCTCCGATGCTGTAGACTTTGACTCGGCTGCTGCAGCCACGTCCAAGAAACTCACACCCACTCCTGCGAAACAGCACAATCGCCAGTCTTCATGGGTTCCGGGTTCGTTTATTCCCCATCTTGCACCAAAATTCTTGCGATTCCTTTAATGAATGGACTACATGATTTGAAGCATTTTTGTCAAAAAAGAAGTAATTTTTTTGAATGGATATGATTTTATCACTTTTCAACCCGCAAGGGCATTAACTTTACAAAGACCTGCCGGATTGTCAACTGAGTAAATAATTTTTTGTTGAAAATCAACCACGTTTTAAACTTATTATTTTAGATAAGACACTTTTTCTACCTCCTGTATTTTTTACCTTGAGTTTATATGAGAAGTTTTGGTACCTAAGTCGAGCGACATTGACTGTCTTGACGTAGTTTGTAACTGTCGACGCGGGGATTTATATTTGTTAGCGCTTTTACTTAAGCGTATATGCATTCTTAGTGGGTCCTTTTGCGCAAACAGTTTTTCCATCCCCTTTATTTGCATTCTGTGTTTATATCTAATCATTTTTCAATAGAGAAAAAATTGTTTTGAACCTTAATAATATAAACCAATCTTTAAAATTTGTCGACACGTGAATCCATGAGCTTGGCGTGCCGAAAGTGTTCTATCTTGTTACGCTTCATGCAAGAAAATATATTTGTTGAGTGTGCCTCTACTAAATAATAGTTTTTATTTTCCCTTTTCCTTCTCTCTAAAAGTCATTCAATATCTGCAATGGAGGAATTCCTGTATCTAAATCAAACGCTTTGGACTACTTTAATGTCACATTCGTTAGCCAATTTCAATTGTACACTATAGTTCCCAGTTTGATTACTCAGAATTTGACGATATTGGAATGTCGAAGCCGATGAATTGGTGACCGTTATTCCCTTGAAAAGCGACTCCAAGCCTCTTGGAGGAGTGCTGGCAACTAGTGAGCCAATTGGCACGGGATGACTATGCGTCCGTCGGTACGGCAGCCTTCCCTGAATCAAACTCCACTGGGGCCACAGAGATTCCCCCATTAGACGAGCATTCCGCTGATTGGTCGTGCATCTCGGTGGCTCTGGGACCCCTCTTCTGCCTTTACAGCCGCATGCTTCGATCCAGTCCTTACGTCACTGACATGGATCTCATGCAACGGCGTAATCTCTCGGAAAATAGCAGAATTGCAGAACAGGTGTGAATTCTTCTTCTCTTGTGTTTAAATAGAAAACTTGAACTGTTTTTCAGTTTACTTCCTCCCACTTTTCCACGCAAGGTACAGAGAGTTGCGATTTCTTTTGCCTCCATTATTTAGCCGTACATCTTAATCGCAGTGCAAAAAATAATTCCTCGCGTCGGGTGAAATTTAGAGCCAAGATGCTATCACAAAACCATTGGGAGCGGCTTTATCAACGATCAGTGGATTATAGCCATTATACTGCCACACATAAGCATTACTTGATGAATCTGTTGATATGAGTTTTCTAAATATGCGACTTTCAGTGCAGTGAAATAGGATGGCAAATTATTTTATCGCATTGATGACCAAACGAATCCATGTTTATTTAGGATGAATTAGTTATTTGTATCATTTCATCATGGAGTTGTTGCTACTGTTGAACATGTTCTACCCCTATTTCAAACACTCAGTGACCAAGAGTAATTCGCCTTTATGTGACCTATTTTTACTTTTGGGTTCTTCAGAACGAACAAAATCCCTGCTAAAAAGAAGCCGCCCCCCTCTTTCAAAATATCGTGCCAATGCAAAAATACATAGTAACTTGCAGGAACAGAGACTGCAACCTCCAGTTTGGAAAATACTGCATTTATTAAAGTAAACTACTGCTATTGACATTTTAGTAGTGTGTTTTCACCTACAGCTGTAATTAAAAGAACATCAGGAAACCACTTTGAGGGCATAGCTTATCTCAATAGCCTGGATTCATGTAATTACAGCTACCTTTCATCGACTGTTAGGCACTGGGGCTGATAGGCAGACTGATGTCCATGGTCAGTGCAGAAGGCCAATCTCCGCTGGACCCCTCCGCCGTCCAATTCCTAGTCCAGCGGCAAAATTGGGAGACCCTTGTCAGTGGCCTTCTTCAAGTCGCCAACCGACTTTTCCTCACTTGTCCCGAGGAATTCCGCGACACAAGTGGGCACGCATGCTTCTATCGAACTGCCTATTAACACGACCTCTAGAGGCATCACATATAAGTGATAAGTTTATTCGAAAGCAAATTATTTAGATTGGAAAGAAAAGATGGAATGCAAGAATTTTTCGTCATATTAAAACGGTGGAACACTTTAACTATGATGGTGGCGTCCCAAGTTTTTAGCACTAAGAATGCTGAGCATTGGTGTATTTCAACGAAAGTATGCACGCTTTTAAGTTTTTAAAATTAGATTTCACTTGAGATGAATACCTCAGCTCCTTTCTTCCGTCGTGGTTAGCGATTCGCAATACTATTTTATCGACTCTTTCATTGCAATACTTGCGACTCTTATTGCTAGGGCCATTAATGTCATAAATTTCAGAAGCGCTCTGTTGCTGCCCTGTACACTCTATTTTTTTGAATGGCGTTAGGAGCTTCAGATGCGAAGTATGTTAATAACGTTTACTTATGTGAGAAAAAAGTAACATAAGGAAATAAAAACTTCTTTTTCTGAAAATCTGCGTGGGTGTCACTGAGAAATTTGGTTTGACTCCGTTCTAGTTTTATTCAGTTTGTATTTTCTTCAACTTAGGAATTCTTCCCTGGCTCTATCGCCTCACCGAGATCAACAATATGATTCCTGATCTGGAAAAACGAACACGGCTTGGACAGCGTTTGGTTGGCGTCTTCTCGACTGCTGCATTCTGTATCCTTTTCCTTGCTTCCAATGCTTTTATTGTCACTATTATTTCCCAATTACCTTCATTTTCCTTCGGTTGCCATTCAAATGCCTAGCTTTTGGGCTGTTGTCATCAATTTACATTTGCCTAATCAACAACCAAGTTTATATGAAACTATGGTGCCGATATTTTCTTTTTAGGTTTGCATTTCTCCACATCACTCAAATGAATGGAGCATAGGATCTCCTTAGATTATCTTGGTGTAGATAGCATGCGTAGGAATTTCGCTAACTCAGTAATGCATGTTTGCTGATAAAGCGATCGGCTGAAGCTAGGTCATATAGTTTGATTCATTTCTCGTACTCTTTTTATGCAATTATAGTCTGCGTTGTTTTCCGTTATTTGGCGTTCATGGGTTCTGGGAAAGAGTCGCGAAATGTATCTGCCGAATGATCAAGTTTTGTATCCGCATCACTTCCACATACTTTTGTTGCGGTTTACTTCCATTTGACATCTTTATTACACCTTAGAAAGACTTTCAATGTACCTATTATTTTAAACGCTTCCTGCTACATTTAAATGAGATTTCTAACTTTGTTGTGACGCCTTAACTTGGAGATGTACGTGTAGGTCTAGGTACGGAGGCTGTAATGATGACTTGGGTGATGCCTGGTTTGGATCGGTTGCGACTGGACTTTGTAGAAGCCGGTGAAAAGGGGTCCGCTGAGGGGCTGGAACAGCTTTCTTCCGACCTCCGCCAACGCCTAGCCAACTACACCAGTCCTTCGTAAGTTCTCCTCATTCTGATCACGACTAGTAGCAATCTTTGCCTTTATTACGTTCGTTAAGCGTGCCTGACATCAGCAGATTTGATCGTTTGTAGGAACTAGTAGATGTATTGTGAAAGTTTACGGCCATTGCATGGTGAAAACGAAATATCTGATTTTGGCGCCCAGATTCTACAAAGGACTGTGACGCCTAGTTGTTGAGATGTCACCTCGGCGTTTATTCAATTTTCTCTTCTATTTTATTATTTACCTGGCAATTCTAGTGATTGCAACTCATTTTCACATAGTTCCAAAAGTGTGCGCGTTCGCATGACCTCCTGGTTGTAATAAAACAGCCCTTATGCATGAATAATTCAAGTGCGAGATTCTCTTTTGTTTGAATTATGGAAATCGGGTCTTGCATCAGCAGCACAACGTGAAAATCTCGTTTTTGCTCAGGATTATTTTACTTTTACATCTCTCAAGAGGAGTATCGCTAGTGGATTTATCTAGTGAAAGTGCTTCACTGGGGCCCATTCCAGCTACTCCAGTGACCTCCATGCAAATTATTTAAAAACCGGTTTCCTTCAAACTCCGAATGCTTTTTCTCTTCAAAGGCACTCTCGTTCATTTTCGACTGTAGAGGATGGGCTGATTTATGCGCAAAGAATCCTATCAAATATGGACAGGAAGTCTTTCGGTTAAAGGTTTGCATCTAGCATGCAAGAGAAGTGCCTTCCACTTACAGGAGCAATATGAGTTCTTTTTTGTCGGCGCTTAGGTATTGACAAGGTGCAGTGCTTATCAATGACGGCAAAAAAGAAGTGGGTTATCGTCCGTCCTGCTTATTTTTTGAGCATACGAACCAAGACCTCTGTAGAAGCCTGTTTAATGCTTTTCCTAGACTAATAGCTGGAACGGTTTTTAACTAATCACTTATTTCTAGAGTGTCAATCAGTAACACAAACCAAATTAGTTTTGGGGTAAGAATGCCTTGTTTATTGTAAGAAAAAGTGCGTGTGCTTAACCTACTTGGTGTTGGATATGGACTAAGGGAACATTTTTTTGGTGTCCGAGACAATTCACCTAGCTGGTGTGATGTCCAGTATTCAAATTAAGTGAGTCATCGGCAATCTAGAGGAAACATACCTATGGAGCGATCTGACAAATATCAAGATTAATCTCATGATATTCGATATGAGTCCCTCCACACCTTGAAGAAAAGTATTTGGTAAGCTTAATGCCATTCAAAAGCAACCGATGGCAAAGTTACAGTGTTTCATTAACATTTTCCCATATTTTGTTGTGTGTGGCTTCGAACTCGATGGTTTTGCTGATTAACATCTAATCCTACAATATTCAGTCGAACAGTAGGCCAGTGTACTCTATTTGATGGGAAATTTTTAATGCAAGTGCAACTTGACGTGCGATCTAGGCTAGATAAAAGCCTTACTTCTATGTCTATTTGAGTGTTTATGTGAACTGGGTGTAGCTTACACCTTGCCACTATTTCTAATTGAGTGCAAGCGTTGTTTAGTTTTGCCTAGCTATTAAATCTTTTTTTTTCATGGCTCTGTGCCGTTTTACACACTTTAAGAAGAATAAATATGCATTCCATGCTCATGAATTGAGTCGGTACCGGAAATGTCGCGATTTCTCGACTAGTTTAGGATAACGCTTTCATTCCTCCGCCAGCGCGTAGCTATTTATTCTTCGGAGTAGAATGTTTTAAAGCATTTTGAGATACCAGTATACTAGGAAGCCGTCATCTTACAGGCCACATTTGGGATCCAGGTCTGGATTATTTTGACACTTTTCTACTTTCACTGCTTTGAGTCTTATATCACGGAAATTGTTGTTTCTAGGCCGGTGCAACCGATTGCAGCGGATACAACAAAGAACAGTCTGCGACAGAAGTTTGCAAATCTCCTAAACTCAGCCTCCGACTCCCCAATCACTCATGGCAAAAAGTTTCCCTTTGTCAAGCATTCATGAGAATGGCGTTCATACCAATCATGCTAACTTTGCCATCTTGGCTGTGATGTTTTCTGCTTTCTCAGGTTTTATTGTTGTTTTGTGCTCATTTTTTGCTTATTTCCACTGCTTTCAAGTGTACCATTTGACCATCTGTCTGCACTTCATATCGTTGCTTTTTTTCAGATATAAACACGTCAGGATTTTGTGTCGCTGATGTTTTTAATGATCACTCATTACAGTACAAGTTGGTTGTATTTGTTTTTTGGTTTGCTGAATACTTTACTGTCATTTCGCTTCATTTGTGCTCTTTTCAGCCAGGCCACAAATGGTCATCATTACTCGCTGCGCGATCTTAAACAGAGTACCCATAGTGCGGGTTTGTTAATCTCATTTCCATGATTTTAATTTGCGTGGGCGTAAGTTATTTTTGAGACTGTAGACGCCACGTTGACCGATAGATTTTGACAAAGAAAATTGCTTTTTCGTAGTTTTTGCGTAATTGTACAGCTGTAAGTTGCCATTTCACTTTGATATATGAATCTAAGAGAAGTTATACATAAGTCGCACCAACTGTATTGGGATGTATAGTCAGTTTTATTTCTCTGAGCTTTACAAGTTAGCCGTTGTTTGCATATTTCACAAGAAATAAGCCTTGAACCAGACAGTGTAGTGTAAATACTATGTGAGGGGCATTACGAGAAAGTGGGATGTACTACCCCCTGGGTTGCTTTTTGTGCATCTAGTTACCTTTTCCTCGAAGCATCACGTGGGGGAGTTACAGTAACGAGCACTGAGGTTGAGAACATGCCAAGTCCACATCCATTCAAAGCACTGCCCAAAGGGGGTAGGAGTCGCACGCCCAATCCGTAATTAGAGGCTCGCCTGCCTCGTTGATTCCTCCTTTACGCTAATTTACTTGGGGCACGGTCATCAACGCTCCCTTTGAACGGGTAGTATAACCCCAAATACTATCCCTGTTCCGTAATGCTAAGGCCAAGTTATAAAGGAAAAAGTCTGTCTTGGCATTAACTGTAATTTAAAGCGTTTCAGGCAAATTGACGTTACCAAGTATGGTCACTTTGTATGGAGGAGTGAATGACTAAAACTTGGTGTCCCATAAAGAGATAATATAATTCCCGTCTGAAATAATTTTCATTTTATTAACTTTCTTCATTTGTTTGTGTTACTGTAAAACTTTGATTATTTGCTCAACTCATGTCTTTGGTTTCACGGGAACTTCCACTGGGCAACATGTCAGTATCCCCCAGGCCCTCCGTATGTTATCAGTACATTTTCTACCATAGTATTGTCTTCTTTCGCCTTCAAAAAAGTCTTGGGACGTTGTATTCTTTCTCTCCTTATTCAAGACCGGTTGGGTCACAAGGTACTGGCATTTGCTCTTCTTATGCATGGTTTTGTTTACCGGTTGACAAAATGGAAATATTGCCAGTCAAGTTAAAAATGAATAATGACATGTTTCTAAATCATTCAACTTAATCGCAACAATAATAAACAGGTAAGTAGTAAGCGAAGTGTTGCGTGATCGCCAAAAGATTTTGATATTAAGATTTACCCCTTTATCTTGATCGTTTTGAGGCTATCCTTATTTGATGTGAGACGAAGCTGCATTCCTAGGATTGCAGTGTCAGTTAACTGTCAGGGAATGAAGCAGGATTTGCATTCCTGAATAAAAATTCGGCTTCTTTAAAAGCTATAAAGGCCATTAAAGCATAGTCTTTTAGTAATTAAGCTGTTTCACGGGGCACAGAGTACTTCTACTTTAATTCCCTTATAGAAACTTAATCTATAGTACCGTAAAATAATATCCTCTTTTCATGTTCCCTGACAAGCACATATTTAAGCCATAATTGTAATGAAGAAGCGAGGTGAAAGTAGAATCGCTATTCCGTACGATTCAATGAGGTGCATCCGTTTGAACTCGCCCCTACTCGCGTACGCACGTCCGCACACTGCACGCTAATTGGTGGGAGCGACTGGCCCAGAGCTCTATAAATAGACGTGGCGGTGGAAGTCAAAACCATTTGCTGCAAGATGAGAGTGCTGGTGCTGTCCAACCTTCTCTGCTTAGTACTCCTAGTTCTGTTCGTTGGGGACATCTCTTCGATGACGGCACGGTTGCCGAGGCACCGATTCCCTACCGAGGACCCCTATAACGGGGACTTCTTCGACGCCGAGGCAGGTGACGATGACAACTACGAAGAGGTTCCAAGACCCCACCATCACAGCCGTAAGTGATCTCAGCTTACTGTCCTCTCACTGTCTACCAAAGTGTAAAATCTCCGGTAATTTATCCAACTCTCACCCTGATTGTGAGACACAAAATTAGTCGAAAATTTTCAATAACTGAAGATTAGGAGCATTGCTAGAGAGGCAATACTTGATAAGTGTTGCTGATCCATCGAAGATGTTGCCAGCTGAGATGTATGGTATGAGCTCGATTATACGATATGAAAGTTACTAATCTTGTGTATGAATGGGTAGGTTTGTGAAGATGGGAAACGCAGTGAGTACTTCCTCTATAACCAGTGTGGGGGTCACATCTATTTTGAATGTTGAATTTTACATCGTCCCTCTTAATATGGAAGCCTGATTATAACATTGCTACTTTATCACATTCCATTTATGTAATCCTTTACATTGTTTTCCTTTATGCCGTAGCAAATTGTGCCAATTTGCAGTTTGTCAATTGGGATCGAGAGAAATATATTTCTTTAGCTTTACGCGCATCCTCATAGGTATCCTCTAATAAGTATTAATATTCTTCCATTTGGAAGTTTAAGAACCGCTGGGATTCAATTTGGCCAATTTAAACCCATCCTTTTGTATGTATGTACGCTATTCGTCGGTACGTTCATTTCGGATCATCCTGCCGGCAGGTAGAAGTGTAAGTAGAAAACTTATCTCGATGGCGAGGGTGCATAGAGTTAAGATGCTCCGCCCGAAACGCATGAAGAGTTTGGAACGCTTTCTGAAAAAAAACTCGCTTACTTATTTAAGAAATCAAAACTTTTAGTCATTTAGTTACGATTCAACCACAAAATTGCCATGTTTGCCAATAATTTGAATGTCAGGTATCATTCAAAATAGCTTATATCATACATATACATTTGACACACCATCTCTCCCAGCGCAGAGTCGACTGTTCTCCCGACAAATTGGGGGGAAGAGAGGCAGTGAGTTGGGTTGGGCAAAATTTATTGCACATACGCTACGATGTTTGCGTCCAGTTGGGTACGAGACATCACCAAAGGAAAAAACAGCTTTTCAAATTTATTTTTTCGAAATAACGCAAGGGAACATTTAATTAGCAAACTCATTTAAGTTTCCCTCTGTGCTTGAAATTGCATTGAAAGTGAGCGTAAACGGCTAACAAATTGTCTTTGAAAACTGCATTGCTGAGGGGAATCATTCCCAACGTAAGTAATTACAATTTTTTTTTATTTATTGTAAACAGAAAATTGGCGAAGTCAAAATAAAGAAATAAATAGTTTTTCATAGTCAAATCTATATTGCATATAGAATAGAGCAAATGGATATCACTATTTTTCAAGCCACTCAGGTCTTCAAGAAAAAAAGGGTGTCATGGTTGCTCCTTCGAGCAAAGAAATGATATTAAATCTGAGTTCCGACATTACTTTCTTATACCTAATTCGCATTTCACCGTTAAAGTTCCTTTTTTGACTTCAAAAATCGAGTAAGTGCACATGTTTAATTGGACTCCAGCTCTGAGGTACGCATTTCCCCCTACCACTGACCCCTCGAAAGCATTTACTTGAGATGGACATTTTTTGTCTGTGCTATTCACTGTTTCCAACTATTCCAGTTGACAAGTTAAATGGCATGGCAAAGAGGAGGAAAAGAATGAAGCACTCTTGGAAAATGACAAAGAAGAGTGGACAATTAAATATTCCACTTTGACTGAATGAAAAGTAGAATCACTACCTTTTTCGTGCATAGCTACTTTAATTAAACCATTGCTTTTTAATTCATTTTTGAAAGCCTAGATGTCAGAAACTAACAAATTTGAATTTCCTCTTCATTAAATGGTGCTGGTGTGCTAGATAATAGAATTTCTAAAAAAGTCTGTATTTGGGTAAGGTCACTCAATCGGTCGTGATGCTCGAGTGGGTATCATGACATCCAGCGATTTGAATGGATAATCTGCTGAATTGTTCAGTTTCCATAAATTCACACTGAACTTATCAACGTTTTACCATTTTGCAGGTTTTACTAAAAGGCAACTTCGCAATCTTGCCGGGTAAATCGGAGGTGAGTGGCTTAAGCTTAAGAATGAAGGATTTATGATTGCATGAAACGACATTTGGCGTATGACCAAAATCATAAGTGATTAAAACACTTAGCAGCGGCTACCTTGGTCATGCTTGTGTGGAGAGCAATTGTTTAAATTCACTCACATGTTTGGCAACGTAGGGCAGTTTTCCTATCCGTCAACAAGCGTCGAAGTGCAATCCTATATTCTACCCGTTGTCCCATTTAGCTGCAGGTACTCAGCAATGTCGCATGCATTAATGTTGATTAATGCGTGTAATATTATGTATATTGCTAAGCATTTAGCACCAAAATCTCCCAACTGCCTAGAGGCTTGCATTAGAAGTTTGGTAGCATATGGGTGTACCCTTCTGCATTCGCTGTTCGCAGACCATCTCACCTCTTAGAGCTATCCGTCAATTGGGTATAAAAACTGTACACATATATCTACATATTCCCACCGTTACCCTTAACTACTGCGTGTTTCAGGTAGATGCAACTGGAAGCCTGGAGAACTCTCCATCTCCATTACCGAAAACCCATTCTTCATTGATTTGCGTTTTGTTTCACCAGTTGGCACCACTTCTGTTTCCATCGCATCTCCTATAACGGATTTTAGCGTTCTGGATAATGAATGATATTTTATAAAGTTCGAATAAATGAAAAATAAAGACAACAAGCTCCTTGTTCCATCACACCAAACCACTTTACTTCGTTTTCACTTGAAAATGCAATTCGACGCGTTAAAATTTGAATTTTTCCGCTGGATAAGTCAAGCCGTTCGCCGAAGGCATTAAAACCGTGCGCAATAAATTTTCTTTTGAGCATTTTTAATAAATGAGTGAAAAGACAAATTTGTGTAACTCCTTGAAGTTGTCGTATCCGTTGCCATCACGATTTCCTAGACTTGAATTCAATGACGCTGCGACGCGATATACTTGAATTTGAGCACTATAGAAGTGTGGGAGTTTTTTACTGATACTAATCAGGGTTAATATGCTTGGAAATTCCCGAAAGTGCTTTTATTACAGCATTAGATCAAACTCTGAAGTTGTGTTCATTCCATTTTACGCACACCTTTAATAAAAAATAGTGTACAGTACTGCGTTCGTTACGCAATAAAGCTGTTGACGAGGCTGTAATTCAAAGCAATACAGTTTGAAGTGTTGGTACCCACTAGTCTTTATGGGGGAACCAAGAATTATAATGCGTAAATAGCGGTGGCTTGGTGTTTTCATACATCCCCACCATTAATGCGGTGCTCACATTTGCCCTGAAGAGGTTATGGGGGGGTGACCGCCTGGTGGCGTAGATGGCATGAATGCGTCAGGATGATAGGAGACTGGATAGATCCACGAAGTCAGGCATACAACCAAAATCAGTATCCTCTTACTCTGTTTTATCATAGATTAATTGCTTGGATGGGAGATGTCAAGTATAATGGTGTGTAAAACCTGGGAAAATATTCGCGGTGAGAGAATGACGTCCAATCACAGATATCTTCATTGCTGTCTTAAAAAACTCAATTTGCTCATGAAGAAGCCCGTAGCCTAGACGTGCAAATCCAAAATCCCTGACTCGCGAAACACGAAACAAAGCCTAATTTACAAAAAACTATAGAGACGGGCTACTGAAACCCTTTTTGATGTTAATGCACTGCAGTTAAATACCGTTCCTCCAATTAAAGCCTCAGGGAAACAAAAGTGGATCGTATCCGGCCCCTGTCTTCATTCTCAAACACACTTTGGAGTAAATTTTGGAGCCAAATAACTACTTTTGCATAATAAAGCACCCTCATTCCCACCAATGATAGGCAAGCGAATCGAAGTGAAGAACCACCGCAGGGACCCAAACAATAGTCCCTTAGGTTCATTATGACCTAAGCTTTCAACATCTTAAACAAATGCCTAATTATCTGAAAATTTACTACAGTAAAGTGAAATTAATAGAAGAAATGGGACAACAGCAATTCTAATAAACTGGATTTTTACATATTACGAGTGATAATTAAGTGAAGAGAGTGAGAAAGTTATTACGACCGAAGTAAAACCAATCCACAGTGCTCCTTCCTGAAAAGGGACTCAAAAATCGTTCACTTACACTAGTTGCGTTGAAAATAACGTAAAGATGGTTAATTTTTAATCATTTTTATTTTGGTACAGTCAAGTTAATAACCGCCAAAAACGGAACTTAAAAACAACGCCTGGCACCATGCGTTTATGATCTTTCCTTTTAAACACAAAACCTTAATTCATATTATAAAGAGCAAATTCTTCTTTGAGTTCAGCTTATAACACTCCACGATACTCAATGGAAATGTAAATCTTTCTGCAAATAAAAACCAACTAATTTGACTGTGATGATGAAAATTTTGCTTAAAAATATAGGTAGCAGCGCCCCAAGACTTCCCTGAAGACGAAAGTGGACATAATGCCCGGTCGGAATACATGTATATTTGACATAAAGTAAGGCTAAGTGTATCGCTTTGGACGCCACTTTGTGTCTTGGCTATTGTAACCTCGCCGAATGGGCTGGTCTCTAGGGCTAGCCAGTAGCCCCAGGCTCCTCTGCACGTTGAATGTATATGTACATTCTGCCCAAGTATTGCCTTTTTTCGTCTTCAGGGAGGTCTCGGGCGCTGTTAGCGTGGCCCAAAGGCCAGCCCACTCGGCGAAGAAACAATGGCGGAGCACCTATGCAGTCCCTTTACCAAAACCGAGAGTTAAACAAACAACCAACATATTACATGGGTCGTTTAATGTTGTATGATGATGTCAAACGCCTATTGATTTGTATCCATACGCAGGACAGTTTATGCCCTATGTACTTCTTCCCTACAGGTGGGTTTATCATCAACTTCGTCGTTATATAGCATTTATGATTATCAAACACGGCTATTGGTATATAAGCTCTGCATTGCGAGATTATTTATTCCTCTTTAAAGTAGCAATTTTGAGAGGTGACATGCTTATGAACTAATCAAGTGTCACGCTATGAAGTGCACTTGTAGAGGCAATGACGCAGACCTTAATCGACCTTGACCACACCTTCCATGACTTGTCGTTGTTGAAAGTTTCTTCCTTATTCGTCAAACGGACAGGATGTAAAGCGGTGGTCTGACAATGCGTCAGTTAGCTTACGTCAGCTTGTGTAAGCGTGATAGATTTCCCTAACACCATCATTATCCGGGAATTATATTAATGCATCTATAATTTTATCCTTTTTTGGACCTGTTGCGTCCACATTTCGTTATGAAGAGTTTATTTATTTAATGTGCCATTGAGTTGTTATGCTTTTCACACATTACTTATGCTAAGTTGGTCCTACGTGTACTGCCTAGTAGGGCGAAATTTGCTTATCAGCACATTACCAATGTCAGTACGTCTGAGTGGGGGATTAATGGAAAATCAAAACCATACTTTGACTCTGAATTGAGGGCACAAGTGGTCCATTTACTGCATTTATACAATTTACTTTAAAAATTACCTCGGTAATGTCCATTTAAAATCCATTCAGAATGGACTGTTTAAATATCCCGGTTGCATTTTGCAAATACACAAGGTTAAATTTAAAGCATCTGTTTATAAGTGAGCAAAATTAGGCTTATCTAATAATCCTCAAGTCGTCTAATTAAATAATTCTGTTAAGATTTTTAACGCATAGAAGAATACTCTGTTGCTTGCCTAGTATGTAGCGTCCCAAGACTCCCTGAAGACGAAAGAAGACACAATATTCGGGCAGAAAAAATA